CACGATATCAAACAGCAAGAAACTTTTGATCCGCAGGGTTTTTTTTTTTTGAGGAGTGCAACTACCTTATTACCTAAGTTACTATTACAGGAGGCTTGGACTATGAAATTTAAATGGGATGACCCCTTGCCAGACAACATTCAGAAAACTTTTCAGAAGTGGCAAGATGAAATTAAATATCTTGAGAAAATTAGTATTCCATGATATGTAGAGATAAATGAGAATTCAGAGCTACATCTATTTCTTGATGCATGTAAGAGCTCCTATGGTGCATGTGTCTACATTAGAACCGTAACGCCGAAGTCGAAATTCGATTGATCAGAGCCAAATCCAGGATAACACCGTTAAAATCTCTGACAATACCCCAGTTAGAATTGATGGCCTGTTGCATTGGTGCGAGACTGGTTCACACAGTATAAGCCACCTTAGATTTCCCTGATTTGAAAATTATTGCATGGAGTGATTCTATGGTAGCACTCTGGTGGATTAAGAACCATGGTGATTAGTCAGTTTTTGTTGCGAATAGGGTAAAAGAAATAAACAGTCCGATTCCTTCTCAGTGTTAGTGCCATGTTCCAGGTGATATAAACCCAGCAGATATACTTTCCAGAGGCATTTCCCCTCATTCATTTTCCGATTCTCTTTGGTGGGAGGGTCCGTCCTAGCTCCTGGAATCTATTAACAACTGGCCACTAGAACATTTGGCTTATGAGACCTGTGAGGTAGAACGAGAAAAAAGGAAGGTCAGATGTTATAATCTTAATTCAGTTGAAAACGGAATACCTTAGTATGCAATTAGGTTTTCGAATTTTCAATCCATCATTCAATTAGTCGCACAGATATTGCGGTTTGTGACAAATACAAAAAGTAAACATGCATTTCGAGAGACTGGAGATTTAACCATTCATGAGATGGAATATGCCGAAAAAACTCTTATAAAATTTGTACTAAATAAGTATTTTCCCTCCGTCGATTCTATTTCCAATATGAGTGTCATTTCAGACAGTGAGGGTATAAAAAGGGTGAAAACGTGCATTACAGAGTGATCAGACAACCCTGAATTTATTTGTCCAATTATTTTACCAGACCGGTGCATTTTCACCCAGCGTTTGATCGAATATTATCATTTATAAAATTGTCACGCTGGAACCCAAATATTACTCAGAATATTAAGGGAGCGATTTTGGATAGTGAAGGGCAGAAGAGCGGCCAGGAAAGTCGTAAAAAATTGTGTAAAATGCAATCGATACAAGGCCAAGTCTCCCGATGGCAAACCGGTGTCCCTACCAGGCGATCGTGTCAATGAAGCAGTAGTGTTCGAGTTGGTAGGAGTTGATTTGGCAGGACCCTTGTATGTGAAGGGAAGTGAAAAAGTTTGGATTGTTTTGTTCACATGTGCAATATATAGAGCCGTTCATTTGGAATTGACTTCCTCATTGTCTACCGACGCATTCTTGTTGTCGTTGAGACAATTCGTAGCCAGAAGAGGGAGGCCGAGAATAATTTATTCCAACAATGGAACTAATTTAGAGAAGCGCAAAGAGAACTTAGTAACATCGATTGGGAAAAAATTTTGAGGCAAACGGCTATACAATGCATAATATGGAAGTTTAATCCTCCCACAGCCCCTTGGTGCGGGAGGCTGGTGGAAGAGGTTAGTTCGTGTAGTAAAGGACATTCGGTAATGCAGTTCATACAACCAAGAGGTTGTACACAGTATTGCGAGACTGCGAGTTAATAATTAACTCTAGACCTCTTACCTATCTGTCTGAAAATCCGGATAATTTAATCCCACATTTCCCAGCCATGTTTCTCAACGAGAATCGTAGCTTAGGTGTTCCCAATGTTGATTTCTGCAATTCAAAAGGTCTTTGAAAAAAGGGCTAGACATTGCCAAAAACTACTTGATGATTTAAGGCATAGATTTAGGAAAGAATATTTAGGCCTTCTGGTCCAAAATAAGAAGGGTCCATCGTCAGAGCTACGGTTGGGTAAAATTGTCCGAATAGGAGATGACATCGAAAACAGATGTATTGGCCTTTTGCTTAGTCATTTGACTAATTCCTGGGAAAGATGGCAAGGTGAGAACTGTAGAACTAAAGACTCAAGCTGGTATGCTGCTTCGTCCCATTCAGCAAATCTTTGCATTGGAAGTGCAGTTAACAGACACACCCACTGATCCCATACACTAAATCTTTTACTAATCCTATTTCTTCTATTTCTAGTGATGAGCATTCAGATTCTAATGACTCTAGTAACATCCTGCAAGGTGCTAAAGTGTCAAGATTTGCATGTGTGATCAAGGTGCCTCAGAAATTAGATCTCTTCCCACCAGGTACTGTATGTCTTTGAGCCAACCTGAGGTAGAATGTAGGAGATGGCTGCTTCAGACAGACGATTATGTAACGGCTGTTCGAAGTCGACAGAAGGAGGGCCGCATTTGATTGGACTATTTTTTATTCTTCTTATTTTTTCTTTAACTGTGAACTAAGCATTGAAATTCCCTTTTCACTCAGTTATATGTATGCACTTGTTAGAGTAATGTAACGTTTTCCACTTGTGTGAGATATCCATATTAAAATCTTTATATTAATAATCCCTGCTGTGATTATTTAATTTGCAACCTGCATGTTGTAGCCCTGAGAGTTGCAACAGCAGTCCTATACACAAAATTTCAATGTTCTGAAGCTATTTGTTTTTGAGTTATGTGAGATACATACGTACGTACGGACACCATGAAATATTCTCTTCAGAATTCATTTTAAAGTAGTTTTACAATTTTTTTGGAGGAAAAGTCTTTTATTCTGTCCTTACGTACAGATGTCATGCAAAAACACTGTTAAATTGCATTCGATAGCAGTCGAAATGGATATTTTCATTGAAATATGCTGCCTGAAACTTTTCGCGTTTACAATACTTTCTTTTTACTTCGTACAAGGAAGTAAAAAGAGTTTTTTAGGGGGTGTAGAGCAGCAGGTCTTCCAATGGCACACCCAAGGTAATGCTAAATTTGCTATGGTATTCGGAGTCTAGTATTTTTGAAATGCAGGCAAAAATTCTTACTCTTTGACGCGCTTCCCAGCAATGCTCGTTTCAGAACTCTTTTCGAAGCACTATTCAATCTGTGTGCCCGCTTTGGGCACACCCACAAAAGTAAAATGATATGTGCTATCTTCACAAAATTTTACTTGTGTACTCCTCTAGACCTAATTAAACTGCCTACCTTTTTTTTTTTTTTTTTTTAAATCGAAATTTCAACTTTAAACGGTAGCGTGCCGGAAAGGGTTAAACAAGGAACAATGGTCTTTTCACATAACTGTCAACTTTTCCTTATTCACTAGTACAGTAACATACTAACTAGTTAGTTAAAGAGTATATGCTCAATTTTTAGAAGAAAATATTAGTCTTTAGAGAACTGTGGAATCTTCAGTTTGTGTAATTCAGAATTGAAAATAAAAAATAAAATAAGAATTAAACCATAATTTCAGTATAACATTACAGTAGACTAGAAGAGAAACACGCTAATGTGACAATCAAAATCGTAAAAACAACCTTGTATTTAGCGTAAGTATAATGAAACACTCAAATCGATTTCGAGGGCAGCTAAAGGTCCCTCCTTATCAGGAGAAAGAAATACCTAGAAAGAAGAAAATAAAGGAGAAGGAGTCTCAGAAACACGTGGTTCTTATAACCACGAAGAACCACGTGTTTCTGAGACTCCTTCTCCTTTATTTTCTTCTTTCTAGGTATTTCTTTCTCCTGATGAGGAGGGACCTTTAGCTGCTCTCGAAATCGATTGAGTGTTTCATTATACTTACTCTAAATACAAGATTGTTTTTAGGATTTTGATAACATTACAGTATTTATGATGTTAAAATATAAATTATAAATATGAAAATTAGAATGTTATACATTTTTACAAATCTAAGCATTGGTTATGTAGTTTTCTGAGCTTTTAGGTGTGTGATAAAAGGAAAGTTTAAAAGACCTTCCCTGAATAGAACCTTTCCAAACTGGACTGAATTGAAATTTCTATAGGACTCTAAAAGTTGCATTCATTTTCAAAAGTATAATGTTCCAAATTTGTGTTCCATATTATTTAGTTCAAAATTTCAAGATTAATATTTCCATAGTATAACAATCCTCTTCATTTTCATAGCTTTAACAATTTTTGGCTGCTTCAAAAGACTTTCCTGTCATTATGCTTCTTTCTCTTTGGAGGAGAGGAATATGCAAGGTTTCAAAAAAGTATGTAACGCAAAATTCTAATTTTACTTTGCAATAGTCCCTTAATTCTGTATTTTAATTAAAGTGTTTCCCCCTTTTCATCATAAAAATAGTATTAGCTTATAATAAATCTCTCTAAAATGCACCTTTTCAAAATCAATCTACATAATGTGATTCTTGAAAAATGCAAATAACATAAATCTGCAAACTAAAACTCAAACAACTGATCAAAAGAAAGTGAAAATCAGTCTTTTATCAAACTTCCATCTTAGACACGTCGTATTCACTAACCCTGCATTACTATTCCCAACTTGTTGCTGCTATTTGCTTTGAATATAATTCAAAATTCTGTATAGTGCTCAAATTTTGCAAGAACAGGCACTTGCTGAATCCCATCATCTGAATTTACAAAAAATTATTTGTCAACGAGGACAACAAAGAAATATTAAATCTTACCATGACTACCACTTCATGTCATCAACATTCCAAATTATTTCAGATACATATATTAACTGTTACCTTATAATGATAATGTAACAAAAAAAATCCACATGACTGCATTTAAGTTTACACACTGAAGTCATTACACTTTTTAGGATTCAAGCTAAATCTTTGATTCATAATATTTCTCCTTTAATATCTTATACACTAATATACACAAATATATAAAAATTTAGAGCACCATCTGAGTTAAAACTAATAAAGATTTAACGATTTAAATAAATTACTTTAAATGAATTCAGAAACAAAATTTTGGTTTTATATATACATACCAACATAGAATTCACTATTGTTCCATGGACACTAAAGTTTTCCAGTTCATGTAAAGTTTCATCTGGAAATGACAGAATATTTAGGTCTAATATAATTGCTTTAAATGTAAATAAAGTAATTTCCCTGCCCCAAATTTCATAATATTTTGGCTATGTTACATGCATGGTTAAATATTAAAAAGTAGATAATAATATCTAGACTTACTCTCTTCTGTTTTCATGTTAGTTAAAAAAGGCACCCTGAAAATAAAATATATTAAATGCAAAAAGAAATACATCACAATAAAATATGTAAATAATTTAAAGATATAAATCTTCTAGAATAATCTCTTACAAAATATATATATACTTAAAATTCAATATGTATTTAAAATGTAATATCTGATTTGTTCCGAATATAACATTCTATTTTCTAAGAATTTATAAATTTAATTTGAAGAAAAATATCACTGTAAAAAAAAAAAAAAAAAAAAAAAAAAAAAAAAAAAAAAAAAAAAAACCAGTAAAATAAACAGTACTCATCCAATGTTGAGGTTTCAGCACTTGCATCTTTTACTGGAGATGCTTCTAAATCAATCACAGGAATTACATTATCATCAGAAACAGTAGTTGGACTAAGGATGCATATATCTTCATCATGTTTATCAGTGACATCATTCTGAGTTATGGAATCTTTGTCTGTATCTAAGGAAGCAATTTCAGAAGAGGTTTTATTATTTAGATCTGCACCTAGCTTTTGCATTGCATCTGCCTCCATAGTACTAGATAAACTATGTTCAGAAATATTAGATTTTGATTGAACCATGCATGACTCAGAAATTCCTTTCGGTAAAACTTCTAAATGGGAAAAGAAAGGAGAAAATCAAAACACGTATGTTTTATGCAAAGCTACAAAATACAGTTTTTCAGTTTCTGGAGAACAAAAGGCCAGTTAAATACTTTCATATGGCGATATATACAAATAAACCAAATCCAAGACTTCATTTGAATTTCTTTTATCACACAAAAGAGTTTAAAATATGATTCTTTGTACTGAAAACAGTTTGAGTAAATGCTCCTTAATTTTTATTCATAGTTGATTAGTTCTCTTTTTGATTAAAACTCAAATACATGCAGCTACTTGTAAAAATAAAAGTATATAAATAATGTTGAGTGACAAATATAAATAAAAAACACAGGTGAAATAACTTGTTTCCTATATTGAAATAAATAAATAAATAATAAAAGATATAAATATTATTAAGAAGAAATAAATAATAATAAAAATAAACTTTATGCTAGATTTGACTGAATGGTTCAGTTGTCTTTTAAAACTATAAATAATTTTTTATCCCAAATGTTAAGACACAGTCATAAGAATAAAATAGATCCACAAGTAGAATGCATTATTATTAAACATAATTATAAAACAAGTTTGAGAATAAAATCAACTTTATAGAAATTTATCAGGTAGGATTAAATGTTTTACCCTCATGTTGGACATATTTGAAAGAAGATTAGTGACATTTTACTTATGCTTTAATAATGGTTAGCTTTGCGTTGATTTTTTCTTTTATGTCTCATTTTGTCACATAGTTGCTCAGTTTAGAGGTTTAGTAAATAGTAGGTAGATTTTATGTCAAATGGCATCAGTTAAAATGAGAAGTCAAATCATAATCAGCATGATTTGCTAAGAAGACTGGCTGATGACACCACTGCTCTTTACCTAAAGAGAGGCCTACTGATCATAGCAAACCTGAAAGACTAATGTAAGCATGGTTGGCAAGTTTTGAAAGTTAGTTGTGCTCTGCCTATCTGAGGCAGTTAGTGTCATAACTTCGAGTTCCTAGGGTTTAACCCAGTTAATATATTTTAAGGTTCCAATAAGCCACTAAAGCACCAGAGGTCAAAAGTTGTTTTGTATTATTTTAAATCTCGTAAGATGCAAAGAATTAAGTTTTACATTATCTTTTACATTGTGCTGTATCTTGTGACCAAGTTAAAGATTAATGAAAGGCAATAACTCCCTTTAATATGCAGAGAAAACTTATAAGGGTGACCAATTAGTTACAAATAATTAAATTAGCTAGTTAGATACCCTTAGTCATTAAAGATTTACATGGCCACTATTAAATTTAAAAAATATATATATATTTGTTAAAAAAGCACTATTAAAATCACAATCTATTAATTTAAAATACATGTAATTTATGACATTGATTCTTAAATGATGTTTATGCATCTTTTTAATAAGAAGCCTTCCAGACATTCTCCCTAATTTATATCAACTTCCTTTAAGCATCTTTACTGACAATTAGAAGTTTGATTCCATATGGAAACCAATATTCCCTCTAGTTTCTGCGTGTTTTATCTCCTAACTTGTCAATCTATTAACTATGTATGTATGAGATTTTACTTGATCTGATAAAAGCTAAATAATCCAAAACCCCTGACAGATGTGAAGCAAATTATCACTGTGTCTGAAAGTAATTACAAAGTCAGATAAAGATTTAAATAAACCTCTTATTTAAAATGACCTTAGAGCACAAAAGCATGTTCTTATGCTAGCAAAATCAACTACAGCTTATGGTAATACAATTAAACAAACCTGAAAGTCAAACTAAAAATGTGGACTAGTAGTCAAAGACTAGGCAGCACAATTTAATTTTAATCTAAGCTGGCTCGGTAACTTGTGGTAATCGCATAACAAATTCAAATATCGGCAACAATATGAAACAAATTCTGTCTTACAACCCCAAAACCTTAGTTTAAAACTATCTAAATGATTTTCATTCTGGTGAGGAAACGGAAAATAATAGCAAAGACTGAAATTATTAACAACTGCTTAATTTACATAATAATAACTGTACATATCTTTGAAGAATAATTTTCATTCTCTTTATGTGTTTGGTTTCTTTCTTCAATACGTTTCCTCTTCATTTTATAATTTTTGGATTTAATTAAAGATTTTTGTTATTCTAAAAAACCAAATGCATTTAGAATATATAAGAAAAGGTGCTGATTTCTTTAGTAATATGAACATTCAGAATAAATATGAAATTATATATGGTAAGGACCGGTGTAGCAGAACTTTTAGAATTTAGTGACACACCGAGCAAGAAAATCTGGAAATGGCAAAATTTTAAAGTTTAGGAAGGCACTAGGCAGCAGAATTTAGTCCACGAAGATTGCATCAGGTGGGAAAATGCGTAGTATATGTATATGATGCTATGATACATTGAGACATATAAGATGAATCTTTTACATTGTCAGTTTTCAATTTCTTTATTAATAGAAAAATTCCTTTCTATAAATGAAGGGGAGTAATAGGTATAAAGAAATGTAGATTTGGGACAAACTCTAAATTTTCTTGAACCCCAGCTCAAAAAAGTTCCCAAATCCTTTACATGAGAAGAAAAAAGGATAGATTAACACAAAAACAACAAAAAAATTTAATTAATTAAGAATGGCTTTTAAAAACGTATACAAATAAAATACATAAAAAGTTACAATATATATATATAGATACAAATGAAGTATAATAAATGAAATACATAATTAAAACTCTTGAATTCTAAATTAATTTTTCTCAACAAAAACCTTTTACATTTTCTAAAAATCAAATTAAATTTAAGCAAGAAGAAATGGCTTATTTTCTTAGTAAGAACTAGGCAAACACTTAACACGCAAAGCTAAATTCTCTTCAGAAAATTAACAACACTCAATGCTACCACCAATACTGGTAATCTATGACCACTGAAATTGCAATAATCACATTCTTTTTTTTTTAATTAATGTTCCTACTGAAATAATAAAACTAATCTTTGCAAAGTTGGTCAGGGTTCAAATTCAAACGATGAAAAAGGTTTGAAAATCTGAGGGTTTTTTTTTTTTTTTTTTTTTTTTTTTTTTTTTAAATTTGTGATTCCACAAATTTGAAGGGATTTTTGTCCCCTCCCCCCTTAAAGAATTTAAATATTTATATTTCAGTTTGCCATTGGAACTTTTATAACATAGCATCTTTAAAAAGAGAATAGTATTCTTAATGTAATATAAAAAAATTATAAAACTTACTAGGCATTGCTTTGATTATTTCATTTCGTATGGCTCGTAGTTTTTCCTCCTCTTCTAGGAGCTATGGAGATATAAATAAATTCATTGCAGAATTAAATAACATAGTTAAATTTTTTAGAAAAGCAAAGTTAGTTTTTATAATTAAAAAAAGTCATCTGAAGATTCCAGTAATAATTTAAATATACATTTAGGATAATTTTCCTAAAAATTACTCAGTATATTATTACACAGGACAATAAGTTTGATATAAGTTCTATTATAAAAAATTTATTTCGAAAATAAACAGTAAATTATTAGCTGAATAATCTCAATAGTTACATAGTATCATATGTCATCCTTTTATAGATCAGTTGTTTTCATACTGGCAAATGATGACAATATATTATTTCTTTACTTGCATGCAATAACTTACATTACTTGCATTAAGCAATTAAGTAAATTTCCTACTTATTAGTTGATATTCTAATTGGTATATACTGTGATGATTCTCAGCTCGAGAATAATATTAGGTTATAGGCCTAAGTAAACAAAATAAATAAATAAATAATAATAATAATAATAAATATGCAGACTAGCAGTAAATTTTAAAACAATGTTTCATGTGGCAAAAGTTTTTGCAGTAACAATCTGGAAATGTGTTACTGGAAGCTTGAAAGAAAAATAATTTTGGTTGCTTATCCAAGTGAATGCCCAACCACTTATTTTTAGAAAATAAGCCAAAAATTAAAAAAAAAAAAAAAAAATCAAGTAGTCTCTTATGTGAATTATAATTGCATGCAAAATGGAAATACCTGACTACACATGTTAAATGCAATTAAAAAACTGAGTGGCACATGAAGAAACATAATACAGTCAAAAGTCGTTAATTCGGACACCCATAATCCGGCCCTCAAAGCTACAAACTTTCGCGACGCATGCGCGTAAAACCCTTATCACATTACGATATTTGTTGCCAGAACAAAATGTTTGCAGCAACAGTTCTGAGAAACGGCCTTTGGTGGAATAGGGTTACCATCTTCACTTGGTAAACAGGCTGAAAGCCAAACAAGAATCAGTTATCACTCAGATTGGCGAAAGTGACATTTCCTTTGAAGTGACATTTGCTTCTCCTGTGTTGTTTTGTATCGCTCACATTCTTTTCGTTTTAAACTTTATTGTTAGTAATGGAAGATAATAGAAAGGTGATTGCTATCAAGATAATCACTTTGATCTCCACTCTGACACTTCAAGTAACAGATAAACACACTTCTGGTTATAGTAATCAATTATATCAGTAATAGCCAAATTCTGTATACACTAAAAATAGTTTAAAACATGTGCTGGATAAGTCTATTTATCAGACATTATCTATGTGTATTTTCTGTTGTCTGCATTGCAATGAAAATTTGATAGCTCACTGGAAAATTTGTGACCTGGTGACCACCTTCTGACCTTGACTAACTTTATGGCTCATAATTACTGTTCTGTCCATTCAAACAAACAAACAGACAACAACAACAACAACAACAACTGGGGGGGGGAAAAAAGGACCTTTTATGACAACAGTCTATATGGCTGATATTTACATCCTCACAGCCAGCAGATACTATTCAGCAAAATGAAGATCAAATAAAGCATATGAATACATGAGCAATGTGCGAGTTGTTTACTGCCCCATAGAACACTCGGTAATACACCTAAAACACATTAATTATACCAACTCTAGAAATTAGGTGGTGCACATCACGAGTTTGTTTTATGTGATTACGGCAAAGCCTCGAGGGATATCTGCCTAACAGGAGGATCCCTTTATTGAAGATTTTTTAAAACTGGCTCGTTTACCAGTTACAAATGGGGCAAACCAAGGAAACGTCATGTAGCCAGCCCGTTCGTGGCATTCTAACCTGAGACAGAACTACCAGTGTTCAACGACGCTTCGGCCATTAGTAGGCCCGTGCACTTCAATTGGAAAGTGCAATTCATTATGTAAACAGACACATGAAGGTGATAATCAGTGGTGCGCTGTTTTAAGTAATCAAATGTTATAAATGCACAGCTGTTACACACACTTCTTATTATTTATTAGTCATGTTTTTATTACGTAGATCATACATGTATGATATAATTATGAATTAACCCAATAACAAAATGTGTACACTCTTTAGTACTCAAATACTCATCAATTATTTTTCAACTGATTATTACATACCCATAATAATTTGCAAAGAACTGATAACTATAGTTGCTGCCAATTACATAATAGTTATCTGAATTAAAAGCAACTTCAAATAAACTTCTTGGCAATGTTCATTTTTGTATTCATACATACATATATACAGTCAAAAGTCGTTAATTCGGACACCCATAATCCGGACCTCAAAGCTACAAACTTTTTGTGCATGCGTTGCCTTGACGCATAGGCATTTACGCATGCGCGTAAGACCTTTACGGCTGCGAATACGCGTGTGCGTATGCGCATAATACGCTTACACATGCACGTTTAATGTATAACGGACAGTATAAGTTAAGCTAAAATTATCTAATTCAGTTAATGTTGCAGATTGTGTTGTTCCTTAATCTTCGAATTGGATCCGGCTTATTATTTTTTGCACACTGTTAGAGCAATTTTATAAAAGTAAGCTTGAACTTTCGATTATGTCAAATAGAATTTCTGATATATATTTACTAATATGTAAAGGATCTACAAAGCGAAAGTATATTTCGAAGTTCATTAAACAAAAAGTGGAATTGCTGCAAAAAATGGATAAAGGCATATCCTTTGTTTATCTACACTTTAACGTTTGTTTATCTAAACTTTGTTTATCTTTAACGCCGCGCAGCACGCACGCAATGAATTGGAAATTGATCTGTCAGCACTATCCTTATCTTCAAAGCAGATGTTTTTATTTTATTTGGCTTATAATTCCTTACTAAATGTAGTATTTCATCTCAATGTACTCCGTCTTTGATATGATTTAAATCAAATTCCTCGTCATTATAATTCGCTTCCGATAGCGAAGAAAGTGACAGAGGTTATTGAAAACGAAAAAATTTCGATTGACAAATTAGTCGGTAGACACAGCAATTATAGAACTTGAACGGGCAGAGCTTTGTAACTGAACAAGAAATTATGTCTGTTTATAGAATTAAAGAGAATGTATTATCACGTAAAAAACGAAGCAACTTAAACAACTTACTTTGAAAGAAATGTTTAATAAAGTAAACAAATAAATATTAAGCTTTTTTTTGTAAATTTTGATACCCTTTAGATCATAATTGTTCTTTATTTCATAAATTACGGTTTCATATTTTTAATTTTATAATTTCTGCATGCCATCTTACCAGATTTAAACTGATGATCTATGATCCCGAAAAATCGATAATCCGGAATCACCGAAGTCCAGACGAGTCCGGATTAACGACTTTTGACTGTATATAAATTTTGCTAAATTTACATGAAGAAGCACTTGATGTTATAAGTGACAAACTAAGAAAAAAAAACAGAAGTTTTAAAATAAAATATTAAGTACTTAATTCTGATCTTTATTGCAAAGCTAAAAGAAGCTCCAATATATAAATTATTAAGAAAGTAATTTCAAAACCTTTAAAACTAAAGATCTTGACTGAGTTCTTTTTGCTTTTAATAGGACATTAAGAGATAATGTCTCTATTGTTCTAGTTAAATTAAGAAATTTGTGGAGTGAGAGCTAAATAATGGTCTCAAGACTAGTGAAAATGGACTGACGAATCTCTTTAATCATAAACAATGGGTTACTGATGCAAAACCAGCAAAGGACTAGTTAACACAAACCATCGAAGCATATACAACTACTGCCAATGTGGGCCTGATGATCAGTAGTAAAAAAACCTGCACACGTGGAGACTGATTTAACTCATTTCAGAATGACAGCTAACAAACACAAGATTCATGAATTGTTCAGTATATTTAATTTATATCACAAAGCTCACAGTCTCTGAAGCATAAAGATTGCTGAAAATAAAATTTTAATTGTACTTAAAAAAGAAACAACTTCCATCAAGACAATTACTTGCAGAAATGTCAGAAAGATTACTTAAAGGAAGTCTGGCATACACTCAAGATAAACAGAAATCTATTTTCTGTACTAGCTGCTCAAAATAACAAATTCTTATCCTTTTTTTATAAAGTGCTGGTTAAAAATCAACAGTAGATATGCTGAATGGAACTAAGAGTGCATATTATTTTGTAAAAGATGGTTAATAAATTGGCAATGCTTCAGCAACAAAGATACATGCCGTGTGGCAGTCAACTCACTACTGTAGTTATATTATAAGAGATAGGGATATCAGGGCCGTACCTAGAGACTTGGGGGCTCCAAGATGACAACAGAGCATCCTCTTTATTGTTTCTCCCAACCTTAACCATATTTTTTTTTCTAGTTATGGGTGATCCTTTTCTTAATAATTAAAGCAGCTCTATACACTTTAATAAAATGAAAACTTTATGATGTGTTAATTAAAAATAACTGGAAATGTTGACCCATTCTCTAGAAACTTTCACACAAAATCAATTGTTTATTGTCAACTGTTTTCTCTTTTTCATTTGCTTTCATAAGATATTGTAATTCAATTAGTTGGTAAATATCAAGAACATTCTTTATACCTTGGAAATGATTTAGAATTTGAATGCATAAAGTACCTATTACTGGGTAAAACACAATTTCTTTGCAATTTGATAATCTGAAGCAAGGCATTCTCCAGTTATCTATATGCTAATAACACATCTACGGTTTCAAATTATAAAGGCTTTAAAAAAACTTTGCATTGTATAACCAAAAGAAGGACAAAATTAAATTTCTTCTAGAAAAGCTAATTGCAAGATTCTACTAAAACATTCAAGCGAGTACTGCTTTTTCTTTTTGATAACCCCTAGCTTTACACAGAAGCCTTTCATCTAACCTGGCTTGTATAATAATGCCATCTGTTGACAAAATCTGATTAATCAGTGATGCATTTGAAGGCATAATTTTTTATTTAGTTACAAATAAACTTTTTCTTTTAATTAGATAAATAACTTCTTGTCTTTAAAAGTTAAAATAAAAA